ACTAAATGCTATAATTAGTAAATTTCTGAGTGATAAGAAGAAGCTGTTTTGTTGCTTCGTGGACTATAAACAATGTTTCGATACTATAGATACTATATCGATAATATAGATAAGTTAGCCAAGTTAGGAATTGGTGGCAAATGTCTCTCTGTTATAAAGTCCTTGTATAATAATATCAAAACTGGTATTTTGTTAAATGGAAAGATCTCAGATTTTTTCAAAAATAACAATGGAGTTCTTCGGGGAGAGGTTTTGTCCCCAATTCTGTTTTCCCTTTTTGTCAATGACTGTGAATTAGAATTTCTAAAAGATGATACCCAGCCAGTTATGATGAATGATTTGTCACTTTTTCTACTCATGTATGCGGATGACATGGTTTTATTCGCTGATTCTGCTGAGGGGCTACAAAGTATGTTGAATTCCTCTCAACATATACTGATAAATGGTCTTTAACTGTAAATGTTAGTAAAACAAAAATACTGGTATTTACAAAAGGTGGTGCTTTAAAAACTGATGAAGTATGGCTATATAAGGGTCACAAACTGGAAGTAGTTAATGAATTCTGTTACCTGGGTGTCACAATGAATTACAATGGTAAATATTATAAAACCCAGAAACAACTTGCATTACAATGTCGCAAAACCATATGTATAGTTTGTCTAGAAAGTGTAGTGATATGAGCTTGAACCATACTACCGCTTTATCTTTGTTTGACACTTATATATCTAGTATCGCTAATTATGGATGTGAAATATGGGGTCACCATCCTGCCCCTGATATTGAAAAGGTGCATATGGACTTTGGGAAATTTATTTTGGGGGTTAAACGTTCAACCCCTGACTCAATGATTTATGCAGAGTTAGGTAGATTCCCTTTGGTAATCAATAGGAAATTAAGAATGGTTAAATACTGGCTTAAACTGAGAAACACAAATAATTGCATTCTAAAAGAATGCCTTAAATATTTTGAGTATAAATTCCGGACTAAACCATCCTGTGGCAATTGGCTCTCTAAGATTCATGATGTTTTTACAGAAACTGGTCTTAATGATTTTTTTCACTATCCAAGTAATTATGATAAAAATTTATTGTACCTCTAGTATATCAAAAACTAATGGATATTAAACAACAAGCTATATTGTCAGAGATTAACGACTCGAGAAAGTGCTGGCTCTATAGACACCTCATCGACCGTGTTACTATTCAAACTTATCTTACAAAACCAATCCCGCTCCAGTTTAAGAAAATGATTAGTAAAATAAGATTATCATCCCATAAACTTGCAATTGAAACGGGCAGATACAGTAAAATCCCTATTTCACAAAGAAAATGTTCCTATTGCAATGATGTGGAGGACGAATTCCACTTTATACTGGGTTGCTCTAGATATTTAGATTTAAGAAAAAGGTTCATTAAACCTTTCTACTGTAATAGACCCTCGGTGTTCAAATTGGTTCTCCTGCTGAATTCTTCCAGTAAGAAAGTATTATGTAACCTGGCACGATATCTTAGTCAAGCAGGAAGGCTTCGGCATGAGATCTAATCTAATTTGATCTAATTTGATCCAATTTGATCTTATTTGATTCAATTTGATTTAATTTGATTTATTTAAGTAGTTTATTTATTTAAGTACTCATGTATTTAATTTACTACAGGTACTATTATTATTGTTATGATGATTATGATTGCGATTATTACTATTATAATTATTCTTTGTAATAACCCTATAGTTGTTGTAACTATAGTCGTTGTAACATTTGTACCAGTACTAGACTGATGGTCCTCAAGAGACCAAGGTAATAAATAAATGAAAAAAAAATTCCCTGGTAAGGCCAAGCAAAAATTTCCAGTTGCGCCAAATTTGGTTTTCGAAGATTTGCTAAAAGCCTACTACTGCCTATTTTTTAAAGATAAACCATCCATATTCGTAATCTTTAAATGTAATTTGTGAATAAAATGTTTTCTCTTTCTTTTCTCTTTAGTTTGACATGCTTTGAGGCGCTTCATGTGTTCCTCAGTAGACCGAGGCTATCGGAAAACCACGGAGAATCTGTAGGGGTGACCGGACCACACGTATTTAGATACGGCACTTGCGATAGAACTAATTGTGGACCAAACTACTGCTGCTGTAGTGGATAAAGTCGCTGCGGGCATTCCCCCCTTCAAATACAAAATTGACGTTATTTAATTGACGATGTTACAGCTCTGACATTGAAGTTGTTTTGCCACTTGCGAAAACAAACCCAATATAGAGGTGCATTTCACAAGCCGAAGTCTAATAAATAAATAAATAAAATTGAATGAATTCGAATTTGTATTCAATTTTGAAACACATGCGTATACAACAAAAATATACGATTGTCTCAATTTTACACCTACATATGATTTTTAACACGGCTTATATTATTATAAATGGATAAGGGCCAAGTGGTAATGCTGTTCCGGCAACGTATGTTACGAGAGATAATTTTCAATTTTGTATCGTGTTTCAGTATACGGTACTTGTATGTTGTATTGATTCAGTCATGGTTAATTATGGTTGACATAAGGAAATCTTTATAAATATTTAAACTGCAACTCGGGGTACATGTATTTGTATGTAACGTATGTTCTCCAGAAAAATATCCGACAAAAAAGTTATTCTTGTCCAAGCACTTGGTGCAATAAGTTGCAGTTGTCGACTGAATGGTATACAGTCCTTTTTGTGTAGTTTGAAATTAATTTTTTTGAAAAAAATTTTAAAAACTTAAATCTAGTTTATTTTATACTTCTTTTACTGCCAGAATGATGCTTTTTTGTAATATTCAGTGACTGAAATCGCGCAAAAATTTATCGCTCTATACAGAAGATTGTCATGTATTTCACAACGTTGTACTTGTAAGAAAGAACACAACCAGTGCTGATCGATTTTTTTTAAAGTGAGTAAAACGCTTCCGCAGCTGAAAGTTTTCCATTTGTGACAGTAACTTTGGTACGAACTTCTTCATGCAGGACCCTGAAAGTATCAAACATAGTTTCTCATCTGTCCACTAAATATTTTAAGAGGGTGCCTGTGGCGCTATTTGCACCTCTGTATTAGGTTCGGATGAAAATTCAATACCACTAGGATAAACATATACCTAGGATATTTTTTCTTTGTGTTGAGATGTATTATCTTAAGCTGTTTTATCTTATATTTGTGCTGTCACGGGTGATCCGATGGTTGTGTACCTTATATTTGTAAACTTACTGACTGATTTTTCAACATAAAACATAAAAAAGGCTCATTGGAAAGGGAATTTGGTGTTTCGGATATACTGGGTTATGCATCGAATACAAGTGTTGTACATGTATACTTAAACTTTAATAAATAAATATTGTCACTTTTTTGCGATGATACATTTCTTTTTTTTTTCAACAGCAGAATGACTGTTGCAAAATATAGTTTTCATAGACTAATAAAAATATTGATGGCAACGATGTCTTAAAAGCGTGGTTTGCAACATGGCATCTATGAAACTGCCTACTGTTAAAATGCAACTGTTTATTTATTTAGTTCAATATCTATTTTTTTCCTAGATACAGCTTAATGTTTATAACACAAATGATTGATGAGAGAGTGTAAATAAGGGAAAAATAGTATTCGATCAGTCATGGTTTTCCGATAATTTTGCTTTAGGATATTGACACAACGAAGTTGGCATTCCACAAATTAGTCCCCAGGAAGCATTTAACTGGAAATGTCGAATGGTAAAGTAAAGCAAACGGGTATTTTGCCTATTAACTTGCTAAAAAAAGTAAAATAACGATAATAATAAATAAATAAATAAATAAATAAATAAATAAATAAATAAATAAATAAAAATCCATTGAAATAATAAAATTGAAACTGTAGCAGGTTAATACACGATGTTCGTAGTTTGTTTAAATCTAAGAATCTATTGGCCGAATGTTGACTTTAATTTTTTAATTGATCGTAACAAAAGATGGACAAGATAAATAGAAATTTTGCTGAAAACGCGCTACGCAGCTTGGTGTGTCAGATTCTTAAGACCCTGTCGGTCTGAGCTACCATTTTTACTGATAACAGCTGATGCGCTGTTGTTTTAATTTCCAATTTCCAAGACCAGTCTGGCAGACAGAGCACCCAGGGATGACAACAGAGCCACTTTTCGAAAATTAAGACAAAACGATTCACCAAAAATAAAGTTTCAGACAGGAGAAGTTACGAAAGAATCACAAATCGAACAATGGCTAAAGCGGCAGGATTCCAGGTCATCGTTCTGTGTGTGAAGGTGATGGCACAAGAAGTTTTAAATCTCTTTATTACATCTTGGATGGCAGTAGCAGCCAACGAGATAGGTTTTTTGTTCTTTATATTAAAGTTATTAAGTCGGTAGAGGACCGAGTTTTTAAAAAGGATAATTGTGGGAAATAAATTTTTCAAATGTGATGGCAGTATAGCAGCCAACGAAATACTAAAAACTGTTTTTAGTATTTCTCCTGCATGTTGGTTACCGTCATTTTATCAGTAACTCAAAAAAATTAGGCCTACTTGGCTTATTAGGCTACAAACTTTTATAGGCCTAAATGTAGGCCTATGCGTTTATTTTTTGATCTAGAATTTTTAAGTGTTACCAAAGATTCAGATACAGTGATGCAATGATAAGAAAGCAGTGCTGTGTGATTGTATCTTCAGGTAACCGAGAATCCGATAACTACAACTGGATGGACGAAATTTCCCAGGCAGTCTGTACCGGTGTGGCATGGCACCGGTTCTTCATTTATGAGCAGTTATGAGCTTAACAATAAAGATGGCGCTGTTCCCAAGTCAAGGTAGTACCGGTTTTTTAAAATTATATTGCTTATCTAGGTTTTCCACAAGTACATGTATAACATAATACGATCACTTTTAAAGCAATGAAAAATGACAACAACATTAAAGTTGCTGTTTAGTCTTTCATAACCAACTCAAACATTGGAAGGGCACATCTTCCCCTAGCGCCACCTATAATAACAAGCCAAAACAAAAAGAAACAGAACCTACAGCTGGAAATAATATTATCAGTAATTTAAAGTGATGCTTATATATTAACTGCCAGGTGAAGTTGTTGACAACAGCACGATGTTTGGGATCCTGGCAGCTGGTAGACTGGTAAGTACATGCTGAGTGTCAAATGATTGAATCTACGGTTCGAGTACGGATGCGCTTCAACTCGACTAACCAGTGGCTTCCAGTAATTTCGTTGAACAAGGATACATTACCCTGAGCTTTCAGTGTCTACTACTCTTAGTTTCGTATATGAAGTGAAGATTCTGTGCCCCTAGCACCTAATTACGTACAAATTTTTAAATAGCGGCTTTAAAAGTTTATTTTTGGACTGTCATTTGCCTTGACAAATGGGCCTAATAAAGTAAATGTAGTGGAGGGCAAGTACAGGAGTACTACTGGTACGAGTATGATCCAAGTTCTGATTATGAACAAGTCGAAAGGTTCATGCAGACAGTATGTGTTATAATATATCACACAAGGAACATATCTCATGCCTATCATGTTATTGTATTTTAGGTACAAACTGAGTTTCAGCAAATCAGTGAGACTCAGTTTCTTTTCAACATCACTGATGCAGACAATGTAAACCATATCGTTGTGTTTATGACTGGGCAGGTGCCCTTTCCAGATGGCATGGGTGGTGCAGGTAAATGTTTTGGTTATGTCAGGTGAGACAGTACCCAATGACATGGGTGGTGCAGGTAAGTCCTTTGAATATGTCAGGTGAGACAGTACACAGTGACATGGGTGGCACAGGTGAGTCCTGTCATTATGTCAGGTGAGACAGTACACAGTGGCATGGGTGGCACAGGTGAGTCCTTTGCTAGAGACTGATTATGTGCTATGTGCTTCATGTATTTGTGAGGGAAATGGTTAGTAAGTGAACACAGTAATTATTACTGAAGTTGCATGGCCAGTTGTGTACATAGAGAATTCTCATCACTTCACATGTATTTTTGTTGGTTTCAGTGTATTTTTGCTGGCCCAATCCCTCGGGTCCTTCCTGGATGCTGTTAGGACATATAAGCAATGCCAAACCAAGTGCAATTTTTAAGATATCTGGATTAAAGTCAGGTACTTTTTTGTGTTTCTCAGGTTTTAAAATATGATTTTAAATAGTGTAACTGTATGTGGAACTGAATGGCATGTTTTTTTAATTGTTGGTATTTTTTTTAGTGAGAATACTGTGCCTTCCCCATGAGCAAGGTCTCACTACCCATAGGCCGCATACAGAATAGGGGACTAACTAGTCCGAGGGTCAAATATGGCTGACCCACTTGAATACTTCCCCACAGGATATCTATTCACTGACTGTTAGCATATTAGACGGCAAGTTTTGTAGTGGGTTGCCATATTTGACCCTCGGACTAGATAGTCCCCTATTCTGAATGGGGCCAAAGCATACTCCTTTATTGATTTGATTTCAGTACACAGTTAAAATATTGTACTACACTCCAGGTGATAATGCAGTCCTCAATCCATTTGGCCAGTCTTCCCAGCAGCCCAGTCATAATGCACAGATAGGGATCTCAGTGGAGCCTCTAGAGCAGCTGTCCCAGCAGACACCTGCCACCAACACCTCTCTTTCCACACTGAACACCATGGTGGCATTCTCACAGAAGATGCTGGAAAATTTCTTCAATTATGCTTCCTCGTTTGCTGTAAATCAAGCCCAGATGGTGCCAAATCCCTCAGAGACATTTGTTCCACTGAGCACCCTGCAGAAATGGTATGAAAACTTTCAGAAAAGAATGGAAACTAACCCTAATTTTTGGAAGACGTGAAGTATTAGACATCTATTTATTTTTTGTTTGTTATTTACAAATTAATAAATTCACTGTGAAAGAGATTTTCCATGGTCTGTAGATACATGTATGATGATAAAATAGAATTATTCTTTACTTAAAGACTAAATTACATCAGTCAAACACGATGTTTGGTCCACCACCTGTAGACCTTATGCAGGGTCCTGTTTCCTGAAAGCCATGTTTGACTGATGTTATTTAGTCTCTAAGCTAAAGGGATAATAACTCTTCATTTCGGCCAAAAAATGAATTTTCCTGGAGTAAACAACAATTTTCCCATACTTACCAATGGTTAATGAATCCATTTTTACTTTCAAAGTTAGTCCCTGTTTTTTTTTCTAAAAAGTTTGGTTTTTTGTTAAAATCTCTTCAGAGATTTTAACAGAGTATAGCCATCAATGGAGGTCACGTGGTCTAAAGACTGAGCTCAGATATCTGAACAATAGCTATAACTGCCGTTTTTGTGGTAAAACTCATACGAAGAGTTATTATCTCTTTAAGAATACTTCTATTTAATCAGATAGTAATCAGAAAGTATGTGGATGTTCATTAAATTGTATGAGGATAAGCAGGCATCATTAGTGCATGGAAAAGAAAGATTTACATATATATTATATATATTATTTAACTGTTCTGTTCTACTAACAGTCATTTATAAGACTCATCATGCACCTTTCATTTTGTTTGGGGCTTTGTGTGAAAATTAAATAATGTTTGCCAAAAGCAAAATCTTTGTTATTTATCATTAATTTCACAGAATATTTGAGACCAACAGGTACCGGGGTAACAGTATGTATAAAAGATTACGTTTTTTTCCTCAATTAAACTTTATATATACAGTAATTCTTTGTCATAGTATTCAACAATTTTTCATTGATTTGACTTTGTCAGCAATGTAGCAAAAGAAAAGGTAATTTTGTAGAAAAGTTAGGCCATAGTAAAATTTGCAATGCTTTGTTCAATGCCAGCCACTGGTACATGTATACTGCAGGAGTTGTTCTTGTTTCAAGTATTTGACATTTAGTAACTTTGCTAAGGGTTAGGTTTTTCGAGTTCTAAGGGCTTTCAGTCTTAGTCAAGGCTAGTACATGTACTAGACATGTTGAATGGTACTTTTGCTTACTTATTCTCACATTCAATCCAGTGGAATTTACATGTGTTCAGGCTATTTAACATGGTTAGATAAATCTCCATCAGGCTTGTAACTGACAAGTAGCTATTTTTAGTAGTGTCTTGAGCATAATTGTACTATCGGTGTTGATGGTATTTAGTTTTGGCCCAGCACGTGCCATGTTAACTTTTTTAGGCAAGTCGTCAGGTTCTCGCAACGAGTTTCACGTTGAAAGTTTAAGTTGATGAAACTTGATGTAACTGATACAAGACGATACACAGTACCAGTTGATGTTACCAGTTGATGTTATATATCGTTGACAGTTGAATAAAATTGATTGACACCTGCAACAAGGCTCATTAGTGTAACCGATTAGCATTATTGATTAATAAAAAGGCTTAAGTCTGTGAATTACATGTATGACCAATAATGATAGCAGTTTGAAAATTTTAATTCTTAGTTTGCTTTGTTTTATTAGTTTATGGTTTGTCAGTAAGAGTGCTACATGTACCTTAAAGGCTACCATAATACAATAGTTTATATGCTTTATAGATTTTTTATATCTGTTCATTTTGTTTGTATTATACATGAATTATGAAGTTGTGACAGTCTTTAAACTTTTATTGAAGTTTAATGATATTTGAAGGTGTGGTTATTAAAGTTTTCATAAAAATCTTATCTTCTTTTTTACATCACATATAATGGATTACTTATGGACAGTGGCATGGTTATATTGCAATTTGGTGTAATGTTGCTTATAGCTACACTTTACTCAGTCACATTTGGATCAACAACTGCAATGGAAACAAGTATGTTTGCCTTACTCGGGCATATCAACCACAATATCACATAAAACAGCGTTAATGCGCCTATTTTTCCTGGGCCCCGTATCTCGAAAGCATTGCGTATTGCGAATAGCTATATCACATAGAGGCTACAATGTATTATATGTGGCGAGTATGGGCGAGTTATGGAATCGAGACGCTTGCGCACGGTCGCAATGCGCGATGCTTTCGAGATACGGGGCCCTGGATCACCAACTGCAGTATGAAGACGGCGTTTATCTCAGGCAGACGAAATAGGGAGATATCAAGCACGCACACACACACACATTCGCACGTGCACGCACGCACTTACGCCCGTTCTTATAGGGTACAACTTATTTCTGAGTATATCCGTTTTGTAAGTAGGACCTCAAGTCCTTTAGATTGGGTATAATCAAGGAATTATGTACATATGCGCCTAGCAGGTACCCGGAAATCTGGGAAATCAAGCGTACAGGGTATACAGAGGTACATGTACCTTATACAGGGGTGGATTGAGGCCGTCTTCTGGGTCTTCCGGAAGACGGTCAGATTTTTAAGTTTACATTAAAGGGTATGAATTTTGTTTCTGTCGGAAGACGGTCAAAAATGGACGATTAATCAACAAGGATAGTTTGGATGACTGTCAGAAAATATCTCTGGATCCGCCCCTGTTATGCACACAGATGAACATATCAACGTGATCACTAGCTCAGCAACCAATGGCTTTTTATTACAGACAAAGGTTAACATGAGGTGATAATTTCAAAAGATAAATGGGCACGTGGGGTTTTTATGCACGGGTTGCGTAAAGAAATTGCCTGTCATTGTTTGCTAAACCCTGTACTTTAACAAAGAACGTTATCAAAGATGTAGCCTTCGTATTTATAGTTCCACCAGCTACCAATATTAAAACCCAGCAGTCACGTGCAACCTCACCCCTCTAAACGTGTTCTCATAACTTCATTGAAGACCTGAGCATTGTTAAAACACCTGCAATTTTACGCAACATTCTTCAAAAGAAAAAACGGGGATTGAGGAATTGCAGTTCTCGAATAACACCCGACAAACACTGTAATAATAAAAATAAAGGACTTGTAAACGAAATGTACGGCTACATGCTCCATTTTCTATTTTCTTAAATCTCCCACCCCAACCTTTTCACGTCTTAATATATTCTAATCCTAAACTGGCACACCGGTAGATCTGCTGTATTTACATTATACAACGGTGAAAAAGACAAGAGCATTTATTTACGGCTCACGCTATATTTACATAAATAATTTAAGGATTATACACATTTTACGCAATAGGCCATTTATATCACTTTTGCGTGTATTACGGATGCTTGAATCTTCGCAATTATTGTGTCATTTTAATTTCAGAAGTTCGCATCATTTCAAGAAATGATATTTATCATCAGGACGAGACACCGTCCTCCTCTGGAATTTCACCCAGATTTCTTCACTGATAAGGTTGGCGCGGGTTGAGGTCCAGGTTCACTCTTCTCCACCAGGGGTGTGGCTTGCTTCGACTCTTGCCAAACTTTAGCTACGGCCATACGCATTAAAAAAACTAATTCTAAAAATGTATTTTTATTTTGGTCCGGTCTTTCTCTTCGCGGGGATTTTAATATTTTAACTTGCTTTGTATTAGTTTCAAGAAAATAATTCGTAAACCAGAAGTCTAAAAGCTTTGGCCTTACTGTAAATTGACATTTGAACTTTACAAGGGTATATAAGAGTCGTAATCAGCATCTAACACTTAGAAAGAAGAGGGCCGTTTTCCACTTGACTACTACCATAAACAACAGCGTCAAAATGCAAGGGTCTTGGTCATTTCTTTGCGTGCTACTAATTACCAGTGTAACGAAAAACNAAAATTTTCCACACCGTAGGAGGGGGACACCACCTCCAACACCCTCACCCCTCGGGGGCTTCACCCCCTCGTGTCCGCTTGTACTGCCCCCCCCTGGCATTTTGCTCAGGCTACGGCCCTGATAGCTACACTTTACTCAGTCACATTTGGATCAACAACTGCAATGGAAACTAGTATATTTGCCTTACTCGGGCATATCAACCACAATATCACATAAAACAGCGTTAATGCGCCTATTTTTCCTGGGCTCTCGAAAGCATTGCGTATTGCGAATAGCTATATCACATAGAGGCTACAATGTATTATATGTGGCGAGTATGGGCGAGTTATGGAATCGAGACGCTTGCGCACGGTCGCAATGCGCGATGCTTTCGAGATACGGGGCCCTGGATCACCAACTGCAGTATGAAGACGGCGTTTATCTCAGGCAGACGTAATAGGGAGATATCAAGCACACACACACATTCGCACTTGCACGCACGCACTTACGCCCGTTCTTATAGGGTACAACTTATATCTTATATCCGTTTTGTAAGTAGGACCTCAAGTCCTTTAGATTGGGTATAATCAAGGAATGATGTACATATGCGCCTAGCAGGTACCCGGAAACCTGGGAAATCAAACGTACATGGTATACAGAGGTACCTTATAGGCCTACAGGGGCGGATTGAGGCCGTCTTCTGGGTCTTCCGGAAGACGGTCAGATTTTTAAGTTTACATTAAAGGGTATGAATTTTGTTTCTGTCGGAAGACGGTCAAAAATGGACGATTAATCAACAAGGATAGTTTGGATGACTGTCAGAAAATATCTCTGGATCCGCCCCTGTTATGCACACAGATGAACATATCAACGTGATCACTAGCTCAGCAACCAATGGCTTTTTATTACAGACAAAGGTTAACATGAGGTGATAATTTCAAAAGATAAATGGGCACGTGGGGTTTTTATGCACGGGTGGTGTAAAGAAATTGCCTGTCATTGTTTGCTAAACCCTGTACTTTAACAAAGAACGTTATCAAAGATGTAGCATTCGTATTTATAGTTCCACCAGCTACCAATATTAAAACCCAGCAGTCACGTGCAACCTCACCCCTCTAAACGTGTTCTCATAACTACATGTAAGACCTGAGCATTGTTAAAACACCTGAAATTTTACGCAACATTCTTCAAAAGAAAAAACGGGGGTTTAGAAATTGCAGCTCTCGAATTACACCCGACCTACATTGTAATAATAAAAATAAAGGACTTGTAAACGAAATGTACGGCTACATGCGCCATTTCCTATTTTCTTAAATCTCCCACCCCAACCTTCTCACGTCTTAATATATTCTAATCTGTCCCTAAACTGGCACACCGGTAGATCTTTTTTATTTACATTATACAACGGTGAAAAAGACGGGCATTTATTTACGGCTCACGTTATATTTACATAAATAATTTAAGGATTATACACATTTTACGCAATAGGCCATTTATATCACTTTTGCATGTATTACGGATGGTTGAATCTTCGCAATTATAGTGTCATTTTAATTTCAGAAGTTCGCATCATTTCAAGAAATGATATTTATCATCAGGACGAGACACCGTCCTCCTCTGGAATTTCACCCAGATTTCTTCACTGATAAGGTTGGCGCGGGTTGAGGTCCAGGTTCACTCTTCTCCACCAGGGGTGTGGCTTGCTTCGACTCTTGCCAAACTTTAGCTACGGCCATACGCATTAAAAAAACTTAATTCTAAAAATGTATTTTTATTTTGGTCCGGTCTTTCTCTTCGCGGGGATTTTAACTATTTTAACTTGTTTTGTATTAGTTTCAAGAAAATAATTTGTAAACCAGAAGTCTAAAAGCGTTGGCCTTACTGTAAATTGACATTTGAACTTTACAAGGGTATATAAGAGTCGTAATCAGCATCTAACACTTAGAAAGAAGAGGGCCGTTTTCCACTTGACTACTACCATAAACAACAGCGTCAAAATGCAAGGGTCTTGGTCGTTTCTTTGCCTGCTACTAATTACCAGCGTAACGAAAAATAATGCCGTAGAAAATCTCATCTTTGAAGACACCTTTGACACGCTGGATCCCAAAAATTGGGAACACGAAATCACCGCATGGGGTGGAGGGGTAGGTGTGGAATGAGTAAAAAAATAGAAAAAAAGGAAGGTTGAAACTTCATAAGTAGTAGTGGTGGAATGAATAGTTGTAAAACTGCGATTTTGCCAGCAAATGTAGAGTTTAAGAGGTGATAAAGAAAATTTTTAGTGCTAGCACCAGGATTTTCCGGAAACTGATGCTTCGGCTGTGTGATATTTTCTTGTGTGTGCACGGTGTCTTCACCTTGCGAGGAACAGAGCGGCATTCAAACACTGTTGCACGTTCACCCATATCTACACTATATGATTTTGACTGTGATAGGGCTTATATTAGATCCAAAGTTTTAAATTGAAATTAGATTATAATTTAAAATTTAACATAAACTAAAGATTTATTGACATATTTTTTTAAAAAATGAAAGAAAAAGAAAGAAAGGCATGTTAAGTCTATATATATTCAATAAACATGTTCCCAATGTTTGAATTACGATGAGGGTCGCTCATGATTGATCGGCAAAAAGTAGAGAAGCAAAAAGATTCATACAAGATTCGCCCCTTCAAATGGCGCACATATAGAAATATTACGAAAATGCAGTCAACTAGATAAAGCCTAATGATTTTTATAATTTCTTGTTTAGAAATCACATTAATTAAATTCAATTAAATTTATTAAATTCAATATAGAATATACACTCCTGTAATATGAAAATGGTGTTCTGTATAGTGGACAATTTTTGGAATATAAAATCACGCTCCGTAATTATTTTTTGATGTGACTTTACATTATTGTTCACCTTTGGTTTTAACTCAACCTGAAAAAATTAAAGATTAGCTCGTATAAGAGGGTCCATAACACTTATATAACGGCATGGACATAATGAGAGAACCTTCTCTCATTATGTCCATGATAACGGCAAGGAGGTATATCTCAGAAGTGCCTCCTTGACCATCGTTAATGTTTTATAAACTGTATTGTGTTGATTTCTAATCGTCCATCATTACGATAAACAGGTGTGATTGTGAAAGACTAGTGTTCTTCACTGCTCGTGTGTCGGTCCCTAGGCTGCCAGAATTGTTACTCTAACATCTGACCAGATAAACTTAGGGATGTTTTAATCCAGTCTTATCACAAATTCAATTTTTCGTCAATATTTGTATAGGTGTGCCGTAACCCTAAACGCATGTCATGGGGAGATAAGTTTGGTTACATATACCCATGCAGCATTGACACCGTAGACATCTCCACATTAACCCAGGAGTGTCAGGAGATTGTATCAGGTACATTGCATCTCCTCGTTAATTTGAATGCCTCGCCAACGTTGGTGTAAATGAATGTCTCCAAGTTCAAACTCCTTTCTGTTCTACTACTCTTTTCTTTCCACCCATCATGCACGATGTATAACGGCCCAGGTTGTTTCTTATGGACTTGGACCCGATTTGTACAAAGCCTACAGTATTTGGAACACTTCTATTGCAAATATCAAGCTGTTCATGCAGGCCTCATCTGTGGGAATCATTTGAAGACCACATGGCCATATTTCATATACTTAAGCTCTGGCCATAACTGTTTGCATTTGAGCTCAGCCAGCGTTGTTTTTGCCCTCAAATGACGATGTTGTTAAGATGGGTTGCTCTATACAGTGGCAGATTTAGAGGGGGGGGGGTCAGGAGGGTCGTTCGACCTCTAAAATACCAAATTTTCCGGGCCCTTCATCGGGCCCCGAACCCCACGCCAAGTTTTTTTTTTTTTTTGGGGGGGGGGGGGGAGGCTTGGCATCTGCGGACCCCCTCTTCAAATATTCCTGGATCCGCCCCTGTCTATAGTCGTGAAAATGTACTTCATGTGACCAGGGGACAACTTTGCACGAGAAAGGTGAGTTTCCCCAAATATGAAACATTTTTACTATTAAAAATGTTGCCCAACTAAAATCTAAAAAATTGATCACAGAATCAAATTAAGTAATGAAATAAAGCCTGCAAGTATCGTCGATCTAGGTGGCCATGCCGACTGAAAATACACTGCCAACATTAGCAAACGCGAAACAAAATGGATAAATACGTAAATAAAATGATGGAGGTCGCAAGTAATAAACAAACTAATTAATTAATAAAAGGGGCGGTTGAGCCCAATTGACCTCCATTTTAACCTCAACAGGTGAACATTTTACCTCGCTAACCCAGCCCTATCAAGTTTTGCTGTGACAATGTGATCTGTTTATGTTTTGACAACTTTTCAGTGACTTTTGATTAATACGCATTTCTTTTCAGAACTGGGAATTCGAGGTCTACACTGACGACCCCAAAAACAGTTACGTGAGAGATAACACCCTGTTCATAAAACCAGTGAGTGGCAATTTTTGCGAAATTGTTTGCTTGTAAACGAATCCCTGAACAATTTTATCAAGTTTACTAAAGGGAGGATTTCTTTTAATACCCCACTGACGTATTGACATTTTGTTATTTATTGACACAGGTCGCCCTTTAAATCTTTATTTGCTTCTTCATAGAATTTTTGTGGACCTTTCTTTTCGTGTGCAAATTGCCTAAATGTATGTATGTTTGCAGATCCTGTCAAGAACATAAGGTGGTGTGATCTAAATGGGACAGTTTGAATGCAAAGAGGATATTTATCTATCAAGAAGCGAAGTTTCATTGCGATCTTGCTTCACAGAATAAATACAATAGCACTGTTTTCTATAACGTCCATTTCTTACAAGAATGGAAATTGTTGACAATTTGAGTTTTATTGCAACTTCTAAAAATCTTCGTTGAACATAATTTTAAAATTTCAAATGGCATTTATAGATGAAAAAACTAATAGTTCTAGTAGAAACAATGTATGTAGCCTACATTACCAAAGTCCACTGTGCTACCAAACAAACTGACATTCATGAGATTACTGTGTTACCTCTGTGAAAACATCTTTTCCCTGTATAAACCGATATTTCGATGTTATTCAGACCCTGCTGAAAGACAGTATCAATCCTTTGACTGGTCAGCCATTTGGCGAAAGTTTTCTTTATAATGGGACATTGGATATAAGAGGTAATATATCAAATATTCGATGACTCTCTATTAAATGTAAATGTTTTTTGAAGGTAAATGAATTGACTTACACATTACGTCAACAAATATTACGGATATTTTTTTCTAAGACTTAAAAGGTAAGATAGACCCATACTTGTACACGTTTCTTAAAGCGACATGGAACATTTAAGCAATCAATGATAAAGTAAATATATTTTGACTTTTAGCAATGTATGGTCGTTGCACAAATGAAATGTTTTATGGATGCCTGCGCAGAGGACAAGGCGGGCAAATCGTGAACCCCATCATGTCTGCCCGTCTGCGGACTAAAGGCAAATTCAGCTTCAAGTACGGTCGGCTGGAGGTCGTGGCCAAAATGCCGGCAGGAGACTGGATATGGCCAGGTAATGAGAGAGAGAGAGAAACAGAGAGAGAGACAAAAAAGAGAGAAAAAGAACGCCGTGGTAAAAAACAGTGACACAGCAATGTAAACTGAATGTAACAGTATTGTTGAACTATCGCTTCGTTTTTCTGAATACCTCCAATTTAAATTAGAATTGTTTTTGCTCGAAACTGAATGAAATTTAGTGTGTATTTTCAGCTATTTGGCTTTTGCCTGAGGATAATGAATACGGAGATTGGCCAAGATCTGGAGAAATTGACCTAGTGGAAGCAAGGGGTACGCATGATCCAGTACACCCGCCCTTTATGAAGTATTATATTATAATGTTAACAAAGTGCAATATAATATAACCACTCTTATCTGCACACACTTACAAGTATAGAGGTGTTAATATAGGAGTTACTTTATCACTTCATCATTTTTTTAATTGCCCATTTTCAAACGAAAACCTAAGACAGGTTTACTCGCATGGTTGCAAATTAGGAGAAGTCTAAATTATCAAAATATTCTTAAGTCTTGATTATTTTTCACGAAGAACCTAAATAGAAAAGTAAAATAAATCATGGAAACTCTAGATATATATAAAGTGAATAAACAAAAATACACTAAATAACCTACTTTTGTCAGGTTAAACAATAGTTTATTGAAACCAAATGCATCTGTAACATTTATTTTAATGTCATATTTAATTTCCCAGGAAATCGAGATCTATATGGGGTAAATAAATCAGAGCAGGGGGTGAACGCGATTGGCTCAACGCTACACTGGGGACCCATCTATAATGACAATAAGTTCCATCTCACACATAAGACATAGTAAGTTCATTGCGTCTTTAAAATCAGCAACAATACTAATACAAATACAGTACTTTTTATATAATTAATCTCAGTGCAGACCACAGCAGATCTACCTAACTTTGGGTTTGAAATAGTGTTGTGAAATTGCTCAAAACATATTTGTTTTGTCTAAAAGCGTAGACACACAGTTTCATTTTATAGAAAAAGTGTAAATCAGTTAACTTTTTTGAAAGGCTGCTTTAAAGTTTTATTTCTGCTTGTGTGTTGTAGTACAAACAAAACGGCCAACTTTGCAGATAATTTCCACAAGTATGTCGTTGACTGGACCGCCAACGGCTTCAGGTAATACTTTCATCTTGGACATTTCAGTTACGGTATTCTGAAATATTGGTCGATTCAAATGTGTCTTGGAAGAGTGGGTTATTACCTAAATATTAAACAGCTACAGTTTCATTCGCGGGCATAGTTTAGATTTGTATTTTAAAGATCTATTATTTTTAAAGATCATTTTATTCGGATAAACCATATACATTAGGTGCAGAGAAATGTGACATATTAAAAGTAATAAGAAGTCATGAAGTCTAACATAAGTTGGCCGGATAGTCTATTGTTGCTAAATTGCACTGATAAATTTTCTGAAGTTTAAAAGTAAAGTTTTTTTTCTGATGTGAAGAGATGTTCATATTCGGCTATTGATGTAAACATCTTGGTATGAATTTGTCTCTATTTATCTCTATAGTATTATCTGTGCATTAAACTAAATAGTGAAACTCACCTCCCATTGACTTTGTGCCATGTCCACAGGTTTTCCGTTGATGGCCACCAGTTCCTAGAAATACCATCTCCGCTGCTGGATGAAAACCCCAGCTTTCCCGGTTTCTGGGCGTGGGGTAACCAGAGCGACGGCGGGTGGCACGACCAAACTCAATCAAACCCTTGGAAAAATGGGACACAACTGGCTCCATTTGATAAAGCTGTGAGTTTCATGATTAAAACAAGTACAGCATATTATATTGTTTCAATTATGTATCGTGTAAGAGAGAGAGAGAGAGAGAGAGAGAGAGAGAGACGCCATACAGGAATATATATATATATATATATATATATATATATATATANGTATATACACTTATTCATACGTAGCGGGTATTTAGGGTTGCCAATTTGTTTTAGAATACGCTTTGTTTGAAAGGTAATTCATTAAAGACAAAAGGGCGGAGTTGTGAATTAGAATTAAGCTAGTTTTGTTATGAATGCGTGTGTGTTAGTGTGTGCGTGGGTGCTTCATTTGTTGGAGAAAAAGGTCGAAATTCGAGGTCACATACGGACATTTAATATAAACTTTCAGGGTCACTAGAATTTTTAAAAAATGACTTTGAAAGCTCGAGAATGGTAGATGCACCGTTGAAAGTGCATTCAAATACTAAATGTATATATTTTAATAAAAGTATTTTGTCTCCCCTGCGCCTGAAAACTTTAACAACTGCGATACTCTGATTATATGTTATCCCAAACTTAAATAATCACTTAATACATCAAACGTGTATTTTCACATTTGCATTTATTTCAATTCATCAATATTTCAGTTCCACATCATCATGAATGTTGCAGTGGGAGGCACTGGGGGATTCTTTCCCGATTCCCTTAGAGATGGGTCTGGGAACATCACTAAACCGTGGAGGGACAGCGACTCTAAGGCCTCAGCTACGTTCTGGGAGGCCAAGGACAGGTGGTATCCTACATGGACGACGGAGGGGGAGGGTGTGGCCATGCAGGTTAAGTCAGTACGCGTGTATCAAACTGAGGGAACTGCCACAAGCAGTGGCGCCATCTTGCGAATGAACTCCTGTTCGTTGCTTGCTGTCTTATTCCTTATGATTTTGGCAGTGTGGCATTTTTAGTTTATTATCATCATTACCATTTCAGTGAAGATAGGAGGAAGTTGGACTGTAATTTGAATTATGACAAGCAATTATTCTATTCTTTTAGAAAGGCAAGGATGACAAATGTTTTGTTGATATAATGCTGGGCTTAGGCCTAAGCATTTAAAGAATGCATGAACTGGGACTATTAATTTCTCGCTATAATATTTTGCTTTATATATTATTATATATTATATATTATTGGTTGCTAAACCTTCATGTGCAAGAATGCCTCAAAGTCAGTCGCAGTGCCATTCCTGCTGAAGCTTCTTCAGTGAACAAATTGCGTGCCTTCTTTTGTCTTTTCTAAATAGTGGAAGAGGTATTTGGTTATTATCAGCATCTGAACAAAATGTTCCATAGCAAAAATGCATAAACATATTCTGACATTCTGAATATCCTCACATTCCATTTACCATGACACAGACGAATGGGAACAAATATTGTGAAATACAGAATGCAGATTCTAACGGTTTGAAATTTATTTATCGTATCTTGTGACAGAAAAAATCTATAACTTGAATTTTCGAGTCGTTGTTTAAATGTGATGTTAGTACATTAAATGTGTTTGATTTGATCAACAAAAAATATACGCTTTGAACCTTGTTTTCAAGTTGTACATTTTCCTTTTTAATTACCGAGATGGTATTACATGTACTAATTCCCGCATTCCCGACGCTCTTGTAGCACGTGTGATAAGAAACCCGTCCCCTCTACCACAGTCACAGTCAATAAGTTTTTACTAGTATTTCGCTGGTTATTCTGGGCACATTTCTGTACAGTGAAAAAAAAAGACGTAGTCGCCCATTTGGCATCTGGTAGAGAGTAGAGTTCACGAGACTGTTATTTGGGATAAAGTAAAGTAAATGAAGTTATTAAGGATAATTTTTCATATTGCCAAATTAATGCCATGGCATTTCCTTCATTAATAGATGGGAAATTTCCTATTAAGATAATGAATATTAAAATAATCAATGCATCCGATCTAGAGGTGCTCTGTGTGATCGCCTGCTCCATAACATATTGTGTCAGCTTTACGGTAAGTCACATGGAATCTGTTACAATCAAAAAGTAGCAGAACCCCATAGACATATATATATATATATATATATATATATATATATATATATATATATAGTTACTCGTTCATTTTTTCCTCGGCGGACATTTAGAAGCTAGTTGTAACACTGGGTGCTGAAATAGTGACCCTTTCTCCTTTGGTCCTTAAAAGGCTGTAAGTATTCTTCACGTATGCTGGTAGCCACCTGGCTAACATAATGTAAAATTGGGTAGTCGCTGTACGCTGCTCCCCGGGTTTGTGTATAGATGAAATATTATTTTGGTGTATTTTTCTATCAAGAAGTTACTCTGCTTTGATAATAATTTAACAGCATGGTACAGAATAGGATATACAGTGAGTTATTCCATTTCATATCAAAGACCATGCCTCCATTTTTCAAACTACCTAAAAAAAATACATTTTATGCTAACTGTGCACTGAAATCAAGTCAATAAAAGAGTACGCTTTGTTGATGTGTTGGGCGGGTCCATGGTTTAAGGTGACAGACGGGAAAGATTTCGACAATTTCAGCTGAGCACATTCTTGCCAAAAAGAACCCGAGCTCCTGCTGAATCCTTCTATGAATAACAGCTCTTACTTTTATTAAAAGAATATACTTGAAAAAAGTCTATTATATTATGATAAGTTTTGTAGAATGTAAAAAAAAAAAAAAAAAAACAAGTGAAAGAGGTCTGAAACCGTTAGTAGTCTGTTACAAAATTATTAAATTTTGGATACTATTTTAGAGACCCATGTAATACTAGACTGTAACAACCTTCCATCTTTTCTTTAGTTGTTAAACTTAAATAACATCCAGTGAAAATGTAATTTTCGATATGACAGGATTTTGTAACAACATTTTTGGAATAATTTATATTTAACATATTTATTCTAGTTTATGTCACAGTAACAATTCTTTTTTCTCTCCAATCATCAGGCTTCAAAATGAACCCGGGGATCATTATTGGATTTCTGTGTATTGTTCAAGTTGTCAGTGGAATTCCTCCGACAGAGGCCGCTTCAGATAAACTGACACTTAACCAGGTAAGTGATGGGTAGATAAAAAAAACGCTCCGAACTTAAGATTTTATTTACACAGTTCAGTGTCCATAATAATTTAAGAAAATTGGCGGGTCAAGTTGACCCCAGGATCGGGTAAAAGTGGCACCCTACATTTTATAATGAAGCAATCTAAACGCCATGTAAGAATTTTTTACACATTTCATCTTATTTTGAGTCTTTGTTAAATATGTAGTCAATATGAGGCAGATAAATACTATTACAAGGTTATGAAAATACATGTACATTTTGAAATCTATTCAACGAAGTAACATTCACATGCAGAAAACCTTCAGTTGGACTCACCTCCGAAGTATTTTTTTTTTTACGTATTCTTGGCCCCGTAGGATACGGTCACTTTACAAGATCATGTGATCATGTTTTTCCCCTCATGGGTACTTTTGCATAAATTGACGAAGGGCCAAATTAACCATGTCCCCTCTATCGGTTTCCTGTGTTTACAGAAAAAAAAGAAAAAAAAGCCCAATACATCAAAGATCAATATCATGCGTTCACATTTTACTTGAAAAGTGTACTGGTATTTATGCCACAGCGGATGTTGAGAACAATAAAATTCAAACGTGATATTTTCGGCAAACACCCACGTCAAGCAAGATTGCTAGTTATATCACACCTGGGTCAATTGTTCTCGACACTATATGAAAAAGATAATCACGACTGAACGGTGTGTCGTGATTTTCACCTTACTGACGTGGGTATCTATTACATGTAACTTCCTGATTCGTGGTGTATTTATCGTATACGCTTTTCATATATGCTGGGAAACACTCATGCGTCGTTTACTGAGGAAATGGTTAGTTTTAGAGGGACATTCGTTGTGTAAGATCTCCATGTATTCTTTAAAAACAAGTTGTACTTACATATCAAAAACAAACCCGTTCGCACATTGATTACACTCGGACCACAGGTTGCGCTAGAAGTCTGCTACAAAATGATTGTATCTTCCATACTTTAATTTGGTATACTATATTATTAGAGACCTGGTTAACTAGATGGCTAATCTCTGTACATACTGTCGCCTCAGCAAAAATGCCCACAGAATAATAACTGCAGCCCTGGTAGAACGTATTAGAGACCCCTGATATTACAGAGCATACATTGATAAGGCAATTTTGTGTTTGGAAACCTTGATGTGATAGCGGTTTATAAACAACAGAGACTTTTACATGATACCAGGAAAATTACTTTTCCATTTTATATTTTGGGTTCTTCGTCCCAATATCCGTTTGACATTTGGATAATGTGCGGCCGCTACTGAATATCTGATGTAGCACGCAATATTCAATATTGATCGGATGTAATATTTATATGTTCATGAAATTTAAACTGATGTTGTAATGACATTATACTATTAGTCACAACTATTAAAAGTCAAAACATGGGCCACCTGGTGTAGTCAGAATGAACAAAGTCGTGATATTGGTGATGCTAGTCTTTTTTTAATTGTAAGTATCGAATATCAGGTTTTAATATTATGGTTATTTCAGGCCGTTTGTGGTATTGGGCAGGCGTTTGTGGACAAGTACCCTGAGACAGCCGGTGGAGTCCAGACTGCAGCAGTAGCTCAAGCCCTGGCTGACTTCAATGGAGAGAGGCGCAGACACAACGCCCGGCTGAGGGTTATACTTGACAGAGCTGATGCCAATAAGGACGGTGTATTCGACATGGCTGACGTGTTAGCCGGCAAGCCACACCCGGTACAGGTAGGTGTGAAAGAATGTATCTAATCCACAAGGTCACTTTTATCATTTTGATTCATTTAAAACTCTGTATTCTGACGTGTTTCTATTTATATTTTTGAATTTTGGTCGACTGTAATTTGGTGTTGTTGTTTTTCATTTCAGCAACTGAAGTATGTGTTTTAAACTCAACATTTTAAGCCAAATGTAATCATCAATCAATCACAAATACAGTTTTATCACAAAGAAAAAAAAAGAAATAACTAAAGAAAGAAAACGCCCATGTGTATTTAAAGTTGACAATGAGCTAGTTTTGCTATATTTTTTTTAACAATGCTGTGGTAAAAACATGTTTATGGCAACATGTGCCACGGTTATCAGTATAATATCACAGCTTTTTGTTTTAGTAGAATCTCGATATGTACATACTTGGAAGTGCCTTTTTTGGAACCTACGCTGACGTCGGAGTGGACGCTGAGACCGTCGCTGCGGGACTTAAGAAATGCGAAACGCTGGCAGCTGACCCCAATGTTATCACCCACTTAACTGAAGACTCTCTCTTCGGCATGTTGGACGCTACTGAAGACGGTATCTTCAACAAAGAAGATCTACCTGTTATTTTTTCTGAATTTATAGCACGTTATGGAAGGGGACGACAGTAATAATTCTGACCGGGCAGTCCCTCCTTCAGGGTGACCTGGGTTATATGTCAGTGAACGGATGATTTGAGAATTTTGCCCATTTCCTTCCTGGGACGGGGATAGAAGAAAGTCATACCTTTGAAAGAGAAAAACCTAAATCAAAGCTCCTTTGATAAATGTTTTTAAAATTTACATTCTGTTTTGTTTTGTGAAATTTTCAAATCTATCAAGAATAAAGAGAGCATGTAAAAAACTCATGTTCTGGTTTTTAAAACAAATCGTACAGCTATAAAAATCCCACCTACAAATTAAATCACATCATGGTATATTACATGTACCACTTCATGGGATAAATGCTATGATTTTACTGACAACTCGACTTTATAGGATAAAATGCGACTTCATCTCCACATAAGATATTGCCTGCGACTTCATGGGATAATGGTGAAAAAGTACCTGTTGTTGGCCCAACGTTATGAGAGATAACGTTTTTCAAATATAATGTTTTTGTACTGTAAATATTGTTCAACATAGGTAAACTGTACGTTTTAATTTACTTGTATGACTGAATAGGGTTTCTTTAGTGGCATTGGATGCATGTTTTGAGCAATTTTAAAATACACAGGCATATGTAGGTGAGAATCCAGGATTTCTGAAAAATCAGTACATTATGGGAGATTATGGTCAGCGTTGAAAAAATGGGGTCCAGACCCCCTGGGCCCTGCTATATACCCAGATCTTTAGGTT